AAAGAAAATCAAGAACCTTCTTGAAGAAAATGATGTTACTGTGCGACCTATGAGTCAGTGAAGAATTTAATATGAGGAAAAAAATGTTTTGAAGAAATGAAAACAAAAACAGAAACATCAAAATTCATGAGTCATAATTTCCATTGATCTTTGCTGGGAAATGTATCTCCTGTAGGCAACAGATAGATGGGTCCTGGTTTTTTATCCAGTCCACTAATTGTGCCATTTGACTGATGAGTTTAACCCATTCAATTTCAGGTTTAATATGAATAGGTGGCAATTTGGTCCTGTCATTTTAGCAATTGGTTGTTCATTGTTTGATTTAGTCTTCTCTTGTCATTTTACTGGGGATGTTCTTCACATTTTCCTTTGGTTCTGGAAGGTGCTATTCCTTTTCTCTGTCAAGAGAACATTCGTAAGTTTTTTTGAGTATCATTTGTAGGACAGGTCTGGAAGAGGAAAATTCTTTGGGCTTTTCTTTACTGTGGAATAATTTTATTTCATTTTTCAAAGACAAAGTAAAGTTTTGCTGAGTACGTTATCCTGGGCCGACACTTTTTTGCTTTTAGAATCTAGAATGTATCGCTCCATTCTCTTCTGGCCTGATTCCTGTGAGAGGTCTGCTGTGAGTCTGATTGGAATTCTTCTATTCATCAATTGATTTTTTTTTCATGTGCACATTTAAGGATCTTTTCCTTATGTTCAACTGAAGAGAGCTTGATTGTCATGTGTTGTGATGAAGGTCGATTTGGTCAGTCCTAATGGGAGTTCTGTGCCCCTCCTACATGTTGTTTCCCAATTATTTCTCCATATTAGGGAACTTTTTGTTTATTATTTTATTGAATACATCTTTAAACCCAGCTTCTCTTTCTGTGTCTTCTGGAACTCCCATGACTCTTATATTTGGCCTTTCAATAGTATTTCTTAATTCTTGAATGCTTTTTTTAGCTCCATTTCCAGCTTATTTTTTTTTTTTAAAGATTCATTTATTTTTGTTGGAAAGTCAGATATACAGAGAGGAAGATCTTGCATCCAATGATTCACTCCCCAAGTGACCACAACGACCAGAGCTTTGCCAATCTGAAGTCAGGAGCCAGGAACTTCTTCTGGTTCTTTCATGCAGGTGCAGGGTCCCAAGGCTTTGGGCTGTCCTCCATTGCTTTCCTAGGCCACAAGCAGAGAGCTGGATGGGAAGCAGGACTGCCAGAGTTAGAACCAGTGCCCATATGGGATCCTGGTGTGTTCAATGCTAGGACTTTAGCTGCTATGGCCACCGTGCCGGGCCTGCTTCCAACTTTTTGATTGCTTCCCCACTGTGGCAAGAATTATTTTCCAATTTTGAGATTCTTCTTCTGCCTCATTCATTCTATTGTTGAGGCTTTCCATCAATTTTTAATTTGCTTCATTGTGTCCTTCATTTCTAATAATTCTGCTCGATTTTGCTTCAGCATTGCTATTTTCTGTGTGACATAATCCTTAAATTCCTGTATGTGCTTCTAGTTGTTGATAAGAAGCTTTATAGCAAGTTTCTAAAGTTTTTCCCCCCATTTTCTTGATGTAGTCCTCAGTTAACTCTGAGTTTGGCAAAGGCTTTTGCTGCTTTTTAGGGGAATCTTCAGTAATATTCATTGTGCCTCTGTCTCTTCTTTTTGTTCTTGGTCATTGCTCTTCTGGTTAGCAGATTCTCCTTAAGGCAGATTTCTAAGCTGTGCCACCCACAGGTCTACAGTTGATTTTACTGATTGCGTTTGGCACCCAGCTCTTTATTTGGAGTGAATTTCAGACCTGGGTTCTTGTATTGGGCTTCCCCCATGGTCTCCACAGCCCTGTGGCTCAGCACTCTCCGACTCCTGTTGCTTTGCCTGTGCCTGCACGGGATATAGCATTGCTCGCTGAATGACTCTTGCAAGGTGGACTTCGATGAGGACAGTCTTTGCAGAAAGCAGGGATTTTCTTGGTGGCTAGTATGTTCATTGCCAAATTTTACATTTAATTCCTTTCTTTGTAATTGAGTTCACAGCATGTTGAAGGTTCTTATTCTGGACCTTGTAGAAAACCACCTCATGCCTTGAGCGTGCACCTTCATCTTCAGGAAACAAGTAGCTTTGTGTGTGTGTTTTGTGTGTCACTGTAGTTATGATGTGATACACTAATGTTTCTGAATCTGTTATAACCACTAAAAAGCAATGGGAAACCTATTTGGGAAGATCCTCACAATCGTTAATTTTTTCATGTTATTGTTCCATAATGCTGTGGTAGATGGTCAGTGTGTAGGAGGTGGGAGAGACCAGCCGTAGGCTCCTGGTGTCCCGAGACCTAGCTGATTGCCTCATGAGCATTGGGCAAAAGTGTCTTGCTGCCACCAGGACATTTTGCGCAAATACAGGTGCTATTACATCTCGGCTAGACAAGGCTGGTAATGTGTTATGGCTTACTAATCCTTTTCCCTTCCTTCCTTCCTTCCTTCCTTCCTTCCTTGCTTCCTCATTTTATGTGGAAAACTCAATCTGAAATATAGCCAAATGGAATAAAATCTGTGACCTTTATTTGCACAGAAGATGTCCTAAAGTTGTACATTGAATTTTACTGCAGTTGGGGGTGTCTTATCTGAAAAATACAGGACCTGAAGTGTTTTAGATTTTCAAGGTTCTCACATTATGAAATATTGGCACACTTTTCCAGGCTGAGTATCCTGAATTTGAAAGCTGTGGAAGCTGAAGCTCACCAAGTGTCATTATGCTATTCAGAAAGAGAAAATAATCCAGAGCAGGTGAAATTTGGGATTCTCTGCTTAGGAATTGTCAGTCTGTATAAATCATTTTTCGAAATCATAATGGATGTTACCAAATTGCTTCTGATTAGGGATCACGTTGTGTAGTCATTTATTAGTGAAAGTTTATAGGGAGAGAGGAAGCAAACGTATGAGAGACAACATAACATCCAAGCCTGTAATGAGACCTGGAGGCAAAAAAACACCCAGGTTTCCTGCATGGGTGGCAGAACCTGATTCCTTGAACCATCGCTGCTACCTCCCAGGTATTCACTGACAGGAACCAGGAGTTAGGAACAGGAGCTGAATCCAGGTACCCCAATGTGGGATGTGGCAACTGAAGCAGGGTCTTACCCCTTAATCTGAATGTTAACACCTCTGCAGGTGGACTAATCTGCTTGGGACTCTTGGCATTAGGAGTTCCCAGTCTCCAGGCCTATCGCTGTAACTTTCTTTCCTTGGAGTTGTTCTCACCCTACTTCTTTAACCAACTCTCTAGGTGTGAGCCCTTTGTTTAATTCCTTAATTTGGAGTCTCTTTTCCCCCAATGTGACTCCTGTCTGTAGCCAGGTCCCCTTGCATTCTTATTCATCACATCCCTCACTCGGTACCCAGTTTCTCATCTCCATGTTTTTCATGCAAAGATGGAATTTAGCGTTGTTCATTCCTTCTTCACTTCCTTCCCACCATTCCTTTGTTCCTTCTTCAAGTATTTTGCAAGCTTGAACCACATGCGAGATACCTAGGACGGGTCCTCCTCACAGGATCACCTGCTCTGTGCTGCTTCTGTGCCTCTCCTAGATGTGGGTGGCTGCAAGTGCCTTGGGCAGGATAAGCTTAGAGCTGCTCAGAAGTCTTAGCTGCCATCGCATTCATACCATCAGGCTAACATTAAGAGAACAAACAGAAGTATTGAGAGACAGGATGGCATTGGTGCTGAAGGAACAAGAAAGAAGAGGTGCTACAAGGTGGTAGCAGGGGAGTGGATGGGGCTATCCGTCATCCCAGAGTGTCAGGAGGGAAGGGTTGGGGTAGACCAGGTGCTGTAGAAATGTCCAGGTAAACAGAAACCAAAACCAGGAAGGGTTGAAATTTGGACAATGAGGCAAGACAGTGAGCATAGCAGCAAGCTTCTGAGCCAAAAAGGAAAAGAGGGAACATGTGGAAGTTGGAGTAGCCTTCTCTGCCAGAGGTTTTCTGGGCCTTCTAAAACTTATTCCTCTTGTCCATTCTTTACCTTGTAGCCACTTCCATTCATTTTCCTGTTTCGGCCTTTATAACACTGCCCCTGGCTGCAGTCATTTCTGGGACAGATCACAGGGGTCGGGAGGGCAATGTTTGGCAACGGAATCTGGGAGGCTTTGATTTTGCGTTATGATCCTCTCGCTGGTGATGAGGCTCCATGCCCTGGGTAGCTTTGTATCATGCTGTGTACTGTCTTGTAAGTAAATAAGACATTAGGATTAGTATGTCTAGTGTAAGTGAAATGCTTAGCATTGAATTAATCTGACTGTTTTATGAGTGGATACTTAAAGATCATATGGTTAGACCAGCCAGACTTTGCAAAGCTGCAAGAAAATGATTCATATGTGAAAAACAAAAGTCAGATTCCAAAACTGTACAAGAAAATTACAGGTGAAGGAAAGAAAAATTACAGGTGAATGAATGCTGAAATGTCCGCAAGTTATAATAAACATTTTTTTGCAGTTATTTCATATTGTGTCATTAGAGATGCAGGCTCACTGGTCTGCTTGACAAAAGCAAGATGTGGGACTCAGCATGCCAGTGAGCCTGGGCTAGAAATGCTTGTTGGGGATGGTGATGGTGTTTGGCTAGTAGACAGCATGGCCAAGTGCTGTATTAGAGTCTCTGGGTTCAAGTCCTGCCTCCCATTCCTGACTCCAGCTTCCTGTTAATACAGACCCTGGGGGAGGGGCTGTGGCTCAAATAGTTGGGTCCCACTCATTCACATGAGAAACCTGGGGTGCAGGTTTAATCACTTCTAGATATCTCCCTCCCTTCCGTGACCTGACGTTTAGAAACAATTTCGCCCTGAGACACTGTGAGGCATAGACTTTTTAAACATTCCACTCATTTTCAAGGACATGTAAAACCTCTGTGGGCTCTCGCAAGTCCTGGTGGTGATGACATTGGGCATCTTCACTCAAGCTGTCCCCGTTTGTGCTTCCTTTTCAGGTGGACGAGCCCGCTGAAAATGGTGACTCCCTCCTGAGACGTAGAAGCACTTTGTACGGGAAAAGGCATTCATGAAGGTAACAGGGCTGCGTCACCCCTGACTGGAGCCCACTGACCACTTTCTGACAATAGCAGAAGTCCTCCATCCTCAGCTCTGGGGGACCTTGGAAGATTTCTCATCGCATGCAAGGAAAAAAGAAGTGTTATTTCTGTTGGACATTTGTTTTGGAGGTAGTCCTATGGATTTATCAGCTTAGGCATTTTAAATTAAAAATTGGTGCAAATATTTGTGCATGTTAAGGGGTTCCTGTGGTAACCTGAAAGGACCAGAATGATCTTTTATTACATGAGACAAGGCAGGCACAGAAAGACAAATAAGGCATGTGTTTCTTGTGTGTGGAAGCAAAAGAAGAGTTGATTTCATGGAGTAAGACAGTGGGCCCTGGAGGCTGGGAGGGTGGAGATGAAAGGAGTTAGACATTTTGTCTGTTTTTTTGTGGGGGTCTAGAATTGGTTCCCCTGAGAGGTATGGAAAAGTGCTTGTTCATTTGCACAGATCTCTGAGCCAAGCCACTTTGTGGGGCCTCTGAGATGATGGCTCTCAATACAAATCAAGGTTATACTCAATCTTAGCACATCTAGACCTCATAGTCTATTTTCATTTCAGTTGCTCAGATTCTTAATGTCTCCAGGAGGCAACCTGCTGGTCTTGTCCTTAGAGACCAGGTTTAATGGGGCTGTGGGTGGGTGCCACCTGCTGAGCGCCATTCTCTGAACTGTTGTGGTTGTGTAGCCTGCCCTCCTAATCCCCAGCTTGCCCTCCCAGGTCCCAGCTGGGTGAGTCAGGCCCAGTCTTTCACTTCTTTCCTTTCCCCTGAATCTGCCTGAAATCTCCGCACTGGCTGGTCCACCTGCATTCCCTCTCTCCTGGGCAGTTGCTCTCCCAGACTCCTCTCATCTCCAGTTTATGTTCCGTACAGGTGCTAGAGTACCTGTAGGAAATGAAAATCCAGCCACAGCCCCCAACCCCGTGACATACAACTTTGAAGCCTTCCTGTGCCACCATAAGTGACATGGCAACGTCTTCAACAAGAGCCTTCATGCAGTCTCTCTCACGGCTGGCATAGGTCCTCACATGCCCGCTATTCATGTGCCAACTTGCTGTGGAGCTTCTGAGTCCCTGGGACCAGATCCTGGTGTCTTATTTTACTTCCAGGGCCAAGTGTAGATGTTGGCATATCATCAAGATTCAATCTACAATGTTCAAGGGGACAGATTGTGAATTAACTGAACAGATAATTGAAAGAATCACCCAGCATGAAACCATTCTTAATTGCTACTCTGTGAGGGTGGTATTTGCCAGACAACATCTTAAGGCCTATCCATGCGGCAATTCATTTTAGTCTCCTAGCTACTGCCAAGGAGAAATACTGTTACTGCTTCACAAAGTGTAGGGGAACTGAGGCACAGGATTGAGTCTTCTTGGTAAAGGGGCTTCCTGGCAAAGATGGCCTTTTAACTCCTGGCCCTATGAAGGCCATCTGGGTTGGCTCCACCTTGGACATTATGTGTTATTTGAGAAATTCAGGGATTTGTGTTAATTTTTGCTGGAGTCAGCTTGATTTCATCTTGGTAAAAACTTTACCACGTTTCCACTGAGGTCCTCACTGCCTTAGATGCTGCTACCCCTGGTACTGGGCTCCAATTCTGCTCTATGCTGCTGGGAACTGATGTGAATTCAGAAAGATCCTTGCTGAGGACCAGGGGCACTCCCACCCCGTTTTGCCCCAGAGCAGTTGTGGGGCAGAGAAATAACCTAGATTCATGAGATTCAGCTCCCTGGTTATTGTCCTTTGAACAGGAAGTAGTTTGCGGTGATCTGACTGCTGGCCTAACTTGTGCCAATGAGGAAACTGAGTCCTGTCCAAGATCACACTGCTCTTTGGCAGGTGCCAGTGGCCTTGGGACCAAGGTTTGCTGAGAACCAGCTTGTAATTATGCCTTGAAATATACTCTTTATGAATTTCAGTCTAGCCTCTTCCTTTTCTTTTCCGCTGTCTGATGATCAAGCAAGTTCCATCTTGTAACCAGAGAAACCAACACCAGTTCAGTTGATTTCAGGATGCCTTCATTTTGTTGTTGACAAACAAACCTATGTGATTGATGAATACAGTGATCAGGAAACTTTTGAGCTTTTCTTTTCTTCCTTGCAATCGTAAAGACTTAAAACACACTTCCATGCAGTCACAGAAAGATGCAACAAGTCAGGCTACCTTATTTAATATTTTATTTAATAATCTGAAGATAGTTTCAAGTAAATTAAGTAATAATACTATCAAGCTGGACTAATTGGGGAGAAAGGCAATTTGAGTCAAGTGTGAGAAGTAGAGGGTGAGGAATGTGGTTTGACTGCTCTGAGGTAGGTTTCAAGGTATGGGCCAGGCCTAGCTCATTGTCCTGTTATTGGACCTGAAGTGACAAGAATATGAATGGGCATGTCACTCATGCTCAGAAAATCTTTTTGCCAAAGTTGCTAAAAAGCATGTTCTTTTATTTTTATACCCTTTCTTGTAACTTACAAATGATTGTATGTTATTAGAGTCTAAAGAAGTGTTGCCTTAGTTGAAATAGTTGTGTTTGCCTATTTACTTCCATAGGCAAATTGAATCCCTGGTAGTATTTAGAAGGCAGATTTTCTTCAAATCACAGAGTTGCACTGTCTGCTTTGGACATTGTCCCTCAGATGAACAGATCTCTGCTCTGGCCCTCATAAGGGTCCTGTCTTAGGCCAAGTACAGGAAGTGTACATGGGGCCATGGCAGGTACACATGCAGGTACTCGCAGTACATAAAGACTGAAGCCAGGAGACTGGTACGGAAGGTTCATGGTGCCTATGCTGAAAGTAAAGGCTTGTAGGATGGAGTCCACAGTGAGGGCTGGAGTATGCAGTGTGCTGGGGTGCATGGAGGAGTGGCTGCAGAACAAAGTGAGAGCCACAGTGACAAGCCTGCCAAATGCTTTGTCGGGGGCTTGGATCATCAGGATACAGCATTTGCTGACTGATAGCTCAAAGCTCTCTGGCTTGACTGAAAGATTCAAGTCCACTGGCTGGGAGATTCATGGATGCTGTTGCTAAAATGAATTCAGACCTGTGAATGGAGATGGCTTGAGCTAAAGAGGCATCAACAGTGGCCTTGACTGAATGGAGGGAGCTTGGTGACCTAAGGAGAAAGACTGGGTAGAGCTCTGGGGGAAGAGGGGAGGGAGGTGGGGAGAACATTTGGTGGAAGAGAAGGTGTGGCCTCATGATTACTCACCTCGAGTCTACAGTTAAGAGGTTTGGGGCTGTATGGGATTTGGAGTGTGTGTATTGGGTGGGGGAAGGGATCCAGATGTGGTAGAACAATGTGGTTTGGAGGGCACGCAGAGTGTGAAATGCTCATGGGCTATTTAGTGGATCTGTGCATGAGCTAGCTGGAGACTGGGTCTTAATGTATGTCATGGGAGCATCCCCTTGGGAGCACAAATTAGAAACATTCAGGCAGAATCCGGATGAGAACTTTGTCTGAGTTTGAGAGATCTAGAATGGTGGGTAAATGTGAGGGTTTTGTTTGTCACTTTCACATTTAGCTGAACCCTTTGCCCTGTAAGTGGAATTAAAATAAGTAGTCTCCAAGTCCTCACTGATCTGCATGTGGTAGATGATGCTGTCTTAGTGTGGTCTTCGAAACCGTCTGGAGGAGCTGTGGGGTTTATTTTCTCCCTCTTCCTGTGTATATTGATTCATATAACCTCATTGTAGGCATATGTAGAAAGCATGAAAAGACCCAGAGAAGGGAAAAACCAACCATCCATAAGAACCCATTACTTATTTGAATCCTTTTTGAGGCATCTTTATGTAGCTGTATCATATTGTACAAACTGCTTGGGATGTCACATTGCTAAGTGAGGGCTGGGTGTCTGTGCTGGCCTGGAAGTGTCAGAAGAGATTTGCACATAGATTTTGGCTGCTGGAACTGGGAAAACCCACAGGATCAGGACCAAGCAGTATGGGGTTTAGTGCATTAGTTGTCCTTCAATACCAGCAGGGGGTAAATATCTAAACTGGTGTTGCTCAAGCTCTTTACATTAAATGATTTAGTGTTTGTCTCTAAATTGTACACATCCTACCAGATGCTGTATATCATCTCTAGATGACTTACGGTAACTAAGATAATGTGGGTACTGTATTATGCTGTATTGCCCAGAAAATCATGTCAAAGTGGAGAAGAGTGTGTGTGTGTGTGTGTGTGTGTGTGTGTGTGTGTGTGTGTGTTCCATAAAGACTCAATTTCAGTTTCAAGTGATTTCAACTCATGATTGGTTAGGTCGGCAGATCTAGGACTATGAGCTAACTGTTGTTTGTGGTAGACGGTAGGCTACATTTTGGGGGGAATTTAAGGAGTTGTATCACTAGAAGCCTGCTTGGAAATAGAACATTTTTTTAAATCTTAAAATGTCCAGTTTGTCCCTAATTCTATTAAAACTATGTATCATGCCCTTCCTCCCAATTTTGATCACACTGATAATGAAGGACGGTTAACCATCAGTGTGACTTGGGCTGAGGGTGGGGATGAGGTGTCAGTGTCTTTATGGAGACCTACTGGCATAGTAACAGTTTCTTCTTTTCATTTTTCTATTTTCCCAGGAGAATATGAAAGTGATACTCAAGCTTGTTTGTTTCATAGCCCTGCTGATTTCCCTGGAGGCTGGTAAGTTAAGCACATCCTTCTATTCTTGTGTGGAGGAAAACACTGAGAATACTTGATGTACAGTTGCTTTTCTCTCTGATTCTGTGGCTCCCAGGACACAGGGCCTTCTCCCCTGTCCTGTTGAAAGGAACATTGAGTGTCTTTCCTTCTTATTCTCTCACTGGCAGGTTGGAAACCTGAGGACCAATGATTATTAAAATACTGCCTTTCACTACTGCATTTCATGTGCATCTTTATGAAATATTGGCTGACTATATTCTTGTGAGTTACATCTAGCTTTAGAGCAAGGGCTAAATCTAGACCTCTGATGTCTAGTGCAGGTCTTTCTATCTTGCTGTTGATTGAAGAGTGTGATACAGAAAATCCTGGCAGCCATTTGGAGGAGGTGTTACACAATAGTGTTTAATGAGCCCACAGCTGGAAACCAAGAAACATTCATTTAATTTCTTTTTCTCCATTTTTCTTTTCCCTTTCCCTTCTTCATCTTCCTACAAATTTATTGAGCCTCTACCATGTTCAAGGTACTAGGTGCTGAGGAAATAGCTCTAACTAATCCAGGCAGACATTCCCATATGGGAAGGAGGAAATGTGTTAGTAAATGATGCATATCATAGCATACATATTGGGAGGGAAAAAGCAGGAAAGGTGAATGTAAAGTTTTGAGATTAGAGCCAATAGATGATTAAGCATTTGATGGTATAACCAGAAAAGCCCTCAATGATAAGATAACTTTTTCTTGGAACCCGAAGAAGGTGAAGGAGCGGGGGTGGGGGAGTGATTCAGCTAACAGGTTGTACGTACAGAAATACTCTGGGCACAAGGGGGTGGGGCTGGTGGAGGTGCTGTATGTAGGACCTTGCAAATCTCTTTAAGGTTCTCACCTTACAGCCTGGCTGAGAGTAAAAGATGACAGAGATCTCTGTTCAAGACCAGAGAGGTGATCTAACTTACATTTTACTGCAATCATTTTGGTCCCTTGTTTTGGTAATAGATCCTAGGGAGGCAAAGGCATAAACAGACACCAAAGAAGTGCCTGTTCTGATAACTCATGCAAAGCAGCATAGTGATTTGTTCTAGGCAAGAAGTCATGATGGTTTCTTCAAGGGTATTGAGGAGAGGTTAGCAGCACTCAAATGGTAGCTGTATTTTGAGAATAGAGCCAGTAGGGAATTGCACATGGATTGGATATGGTAAAGAGGAAACCTAAGGATGATTCCAGAAATTTGGCTTAGCAAAGGCAAGGTGCTATTGCCATTGATGAGACAGATGAATACAAGTGTTTACTTCGACCGTGTTCGGTTTAGATGCCCATTAGAAGTCTGAATGCTAACTCTGCGGACTGGAGCCTGAGCGATAAGTTTGGGTTGAAGTTTAAAAATACAAGAGATTCCAGAAAGCAGATAAAATGAGAATTGTGAGGTTGCATGCGATCAACAAGGATGGTTTGAAAAGATAAGAATTTTTTAATAGGCCTGGGCTCTGATCCAGATTTCCCACATTGTGGAGTAGGGGAGCAACAACCCCAAATCTTGGGCCAATCACTCATTTCCTCTTAGGCACATTAACAGGAAACTAGACTGGATGTTCGGAGTAGCTTAAGACTCAAAGCAGACATCTAAAATAAGATGCAGGCATCCCAAGGGAAGGCGTAACCTGCTATCGCATAATGCTCATCTCTTAAAATCATTTTAACTCCGATTTCAAGTCTTTGGTAGTTTAACACGTGGCCCCCTCTGGGATGATTTCTACGTGTACGTTTTTCCCTATGTGTGAGCCATGTTTTTCTGTTTCTGTTTTTCTGTTTTCTGTTAAATTGTCTGATCCAGTGTGTTTTCACCCTTTGCTAAGGGACTCTCATCTCTCAGACTATTTACAGTTCTGCCTTGGCTTGTACAGGATCTCGAGTCAGCTGACTTTGAGAAACTCACACGTTCTCGACATTTCCCTGAGCAGGTGCAAGACCATGCACACTTGTCTACCTTTCCAGATTTCTCTAAAATGTGTCAACACTTTTCAGATTGCCTTTGAGGAATGGCTATTATTTGTTCCAACGGGTATTGCAGCCTCTCTGGCTGTTGTCACAATCAACGGTGGACACTAAGTTTTGTTGTTGTTGTTTTCTAAATAACACCCTTGAGACAGGACTTTTCCTGTGGGTCTCTGAATTATTAGGTCAGTAACAACACAACCTTGTGAATGTGATTTCCAGAAACTGCCAGTTGGGCCAGAATGGTGGTGTTCAGAGAAGGGGACTTGAGGAAATTAAAGCTGATCTGTTCTACTGTGATTTGGCATATGGTTTTGGTTTATTGGTTTGCTTTTTAAATAAATGCTCTTCTGGTTGTCGCAAAGCTTCACTGTTTGAAACTTGCCAGCTTTTTGTTGCCTTTATGGAGAAATTGACTTACCAAAGCCCCCACTCTGCCGCTGACATTTTGAGACTTGGCTATTGTTTATCACTCTTGTCTCTACCTGCTTGGTATCTGTTCAATTTTTTTTGACGTAGTAGAGGGTAAAACCTGTTATTATAGAATAACCTGAGAGCATATTATTGTAAAAACTAAGAACAACAACAACAACAAAAAAAAAGAATTGTAGAAGGAGGAGGGAGGGTGGGGCCAGAGGAGGTGGGGGAGGGTGAGAAGTGTCACTATACTGCTAAATTTGTATGCATGAACTACGTGAAATTTGTTTACCATATATAAATGCAATAATTTAAATTTTAAAATGACACTGTGATTGTTGTAGTTTTATAATATGTCACAATAAGTAGGGTAACTCTTACAGTTTTGCTCTTTTATAATCAATATTGTTTTGGCTATGTTGATTTTGTAATAATCAACTTGTCAATTTGTGTGAAAAATCTTAACAGGGTTTTGATTGACATTGAATATAACTATGTTTTGAGAAAACTAGTATCTTAATAATATCAGTAAATCTGATCCATTAACAAATTAGTTCTTCATCTATTTAGATCATTTAAAACTTAAATTTTTATAAATTTCATTACATAAGTCTTAATTATTCTTTATCAGACCTACGATCAATTTTTTTGTATCTTTGAATGCTATTATAATGCTTTTTTCCAATATCAGGTTCAAGGGTGTTTGGACTAGTGACCCCAACCTACCTGTCCATCCGTGTATCTGGGTACAATTCCTGTCTCTTCCTCCTGACTCTCGCTTCCCTGGGAGGCAGTGGTGATGGCTCAGGTTATTAGGTTTCTGACAGTCCCATGGAAGACCCAGGTTGAGTTCCTGGCTCGTGGCTTCAGCTCCTGTCCAGTTCTGGCTGTTGTGGACATTTGGAGGTGTGAACCAGCAGATGAAAATACAGTGCTAATGCTTTCTACTGTTACATTGATAGAACTCTAGCAGTTTCAGCATGTTCTTTGCAGTATAAGCAAACTAAACATAATTTTGCCATATCGTGTGTTCTACAACTTAACATTAGATCTTTTGTAGATTCCTTAATATTTTCTGCATAGATGATCATGTTTTTGCAAGTGAAAATCTTATAATTTTCCTTTGCAGGTTGGGTGCCGTGTAGTGCTTTTGTTTGCTTTCAAGTGCTAGCCAGACTTATCATTACAGTTTAAACAGAATCATTTAGAGCCTAGTCTTACTATAAATGATAACTGGCTTTCAGGTTCAGGATATTCTTTCCTAGTTTGCCGAGAGTTTTTCTCAGAAATGGATATTTTATCAAATTTATTTTCTGTATCTTTTGAGATTATTGTATAGGGCTTTCTTTACAATATATTAATATGTGGCATTGCATTGATTTTTTTGAAGTTGAACTTAACTTTTTGTTCTTGGGATATATCCCATTTTCTTGAGGATTTTTTAAAAATTATTAAAGTTATAAGATTCGATTTGCTACAACTTTTAAGAGAAATTTTGTATCTTGTTCGTAATAAAGATTGGTTTGTATTTTTTTCTTTCTTGTGATATCTTTGGTTTTGGTGTCAGAATAATGCTGCATTCATAGCATGAGTGGAGAATTATTGCCCCTTTGATTTTATGGATGGGTGTGTGTATATTGCATATTATTTTTTTAATTGAAAGGTAGTGAATGTTTATACTCATGGTAGAATATACTAATGAAGCCATGAATTGTTGGAAAGACTTATTCTTCAAAAAAATTATTTCTTTGAGAGAAAGATGGAGAGAGATTTTCTATCAGCTAGTTTATTCCCAAATGTCCACAAGGTGGGGGCTGAGCCAGGCTAATGCCAAGCGCTGAGAATTCAGTCTGGGACTCCCACACGGGGCAGAGGTTCAGTCATTTGAGTCATAATCTGCCTCTCTAGGTAAGCAGGAAGTAGGAATTAGAAAGGAGCCACTCTGCTATGGGTGGGGGCCAAACTAAGTAGCATCATAATTGTTAGGTCAAATGCCTGCTCTGGTTAGCAGGTTTTTAGAAATTCCATTTCCTTAATGTGACAATACTTCCAAAAGTTCATGTAAATGGGATTAAAAGTTTGTTTTAGTGCAAAGAAAGTTTTGAAACTCGTGCATCTGAAAGGTTTTTAAAAAAAATTATAGATGGTATGCATTATACACAAACAATGCATGGAGTTTTCATTCATAGCATTGTTTTAATCTCAATTGCTTACTGCTCTTCATGTTTGTCCTTTCCTTTAGCATCTTGAGCAAATCAGATACAGTAATATTAATGATATTTTATTTTCTTATCTGTGTTATTTTTGTGTCAGTTTTGGTTGTTTTGTTTGGTTGCATATTATCTGTCTTCCATGCCTGATGATTGGTGGTCGAATGGTAGACATTGTAAAAATTACTGTGCTGGATGATGGAAATTTCTGTATTACTGCAAGTGTACTTGAGCATTGGAAACTGGCTGGTGCTTTCAGCCCCATCCTTGTGAGCCTGGCTCTCCGCAGCTCTGGAGTCAGAGCCATTCTGATCCTGATGCTGCATGACTAATGAGGTTTCCTGTTCTGTCTGTTGGAGCAGAGACTGCCCCGCGTTGTGTGGCTTCAGGTATTATTGTCTCTAATCCTTTTGGTGGTTTTCAAATGAGTCTTGAGTTATTTTTTAGTTTCTTAGATATGTTGGTTCTTTGCTGGAAACTCAGGGAGACAGCAGACCTCCAAAGGCTCCCTCGCTGTATATGTAGCTGTAACCCGATTGGTGTCGTTTTCCTGCAGAATCTTCCTTTTGCAGATAGCCAATCCCAGTCTTGACTCAGGGAGGACACTGGACTTTGCCGTGGTTCCGTGCTGCAATGTTATGGCCTCATAGTCGGTTTGGGCAATTGCTTCAGTTCTTTCTAAATCTGTCCTTTAGTTCCTGATGTTCAATGTCGTAAAGCAATGCTGTTTTGTATTCTTTATTTTTTAGTTCAGGTATAAAGGTAGAAACAGTTTTCTATATTTCACCGTGCAATGAAGTGAATGTCTTTTCTGTTACATTTCCTTCTGTCTCATATGAATAAATTGGAGGTGAGAGGGGCTGAATAACTGACTCAAGGGCACAAGCCACAGATGATAGCACACACATTTTATTGTGAATTTTTCAGATCCACAAGATAATGCCGTTAATCATGATGCTATAAAGAGTTTATGGATACTATGAGTTGAGGGATTTAATTATCTAGTTATACGTAGACATTATATTAAGAAACATTGGCAGGTTTTTATAAAATGTTTTCGCTCTCTCTTTTAAAGATAACTGTAAGGAACGTGAAGAAAAAGTAATTACTGTATCATCTGCAAATGAAATAGGAGTTTCTTCTTGTCCTCTTAACCCACATGAACGAAACGGTGTTATAAATTGGTATAAAAATGGTAGTGAAATACCTATATCTACAGACCAAAGCTGCAACATCCATCAGCACAAAGATAACCTTTGGTTTGTTCCTGCCAAGGTAGAGGATTCAGGGAGTTATTCTTGTACTGTCAGGTAAGATTGTAAGCACGTGTTCTAGGAGTCTGCAGCAGAGAGGAGGGGGAGCTCTACTCATGGTGGTTCATTTTCCTATCTTACTTTATTATAGAAATTCAACTTACTGCCTCAGAATTAGAATAACGACAAAGTTTGTGGAGAATGAACCTAACCTGTGTTACAGTGCAGACGCTCTGTACAAACAGAGACTCCCTGCTGCCGTGGATGGGGTACTTGTATGCCCTTATCTGGATTATTTTAAAGATGAAAATGACAAATTGCCCACAATACAGTGGTATAAGGTAAGCTTATTATCGCTACTTTTATAGTATTTTCAGAAAATGTGATTTCTTTTTTATGGACTAAACAGTGAATTTGCAAAGAACTGTTCCAATTGGCAAAATGTTTGCTCACTGATGAAACTTAATGGGTAATCTAAAAAGAATTGTAAAATCCATATTCCATTAATCTGATGTATAGCTAAAGGCTTTCTTGCTCATGCTTTTATTAATAATAATAATAAGATGCAATTGAGAAAAGTAGTAGTATGAATAAAATATGCTTAAGGAGAAGGCTGACTGTAAATTTAAGATATTGAAGAGAGCTGTGGGGTCTCCCCCACAGATTCCTCTAGTACCCCGTTGCCATAGGGGATGAGCCTGCTGCCTGCCAGCCAGCCTCCCGGCCTGCGAGAGACAAACAGAGGGACAAGGGTTCTGTCTAAGCAGTTCTGGTTTATTGGGGAAATTCAGATTCTTATATAGGGTAAGGGATAGCCTCAGGCCAGGAATTCCAGGAGGGGAGAAACTAGGAGCCAATTACTAGGAGTATGACTGCAGAAGCCACCTCCCATAGGCCAGGGGTAGGTGAGTGAAAAGGCCCTGGCCAATCGAAACAACATGACCCCTTCCCTGGTTCATGCCTGGGGTTCTGTCCTTGGCCCCCATATTGACTTAACCACCCCTTTGCCCCGGAGCCCCACAGAGAGCTACTTAAAAATATCAAACCTGGGTCTTATCAAAAATATTAAGTGTTTCTTAAGTAATCTTGTAGTTTCTATAACTGTCTTAAAAGGGATTGACTAACATTGCATGGAACACGTGTGTTTTTTGTAAAATATAGCATTTGCTAATGTGAATCAATGGAGTTTCCTTTTATAGGAAGAGTGGGAAACTGTTGTTATCGATGTTTCTTTTCACTTCTTTGATCTAGGATTGTGAGCCTCTGGATCTTGACAATGTAAGCTTCTCTGGAATCCCAAATCAACTTATTGTGATGAATGTGGCTGAAAAGCATAGAGGGAACTACACTTGTCGCATATCCTACACATACATGGGAAAGCAGTATCCCGTGACCCGGGCAATAGAATTCATCCCTCTAGGTGAGTTCTATCTCCATGCCACAGAGTTCAGGTCTGGGAAGGCCAGAGACCAAGAGTGCTTATAACATCGCCATTGTCACGCATGGAGGAACTAAATCCACAACTCCACAAAGGAGCTTAGTTTAGTTTGTTGTTGTTGCTAAATGCTGGGTGACTGTTTTCCATCCTACTTCAGATGCAGTGTCAACTACCGTGACATTAGGAGTTGTTTTCCACCTGACCTTGTACTTTGACGTGCCCAAAGATGATTCTGCTAATGTGTGGATCTTCTGAGCACCTCCACTTGTGGGGTCCAAGTGTCTAGCAATGAGCATTTTTGGTATAAATGGGGTGAATATTAGTGGCTTCAGAAAAGTTGTACCTCTAGAATCAACCTCGTGTTTATTCCGTGTTAGATCAGTCAGCGATCTCTATGCCTGTTTCCTTTTCTCAAAGTTGTTGGAAAGATTGGAACTTGGGTAGACTCAACTTGTGGTTCTGTGTCTGATGCAACATGATGCTTGGTGAGAAACAGGTATGCAGTTGCCCTGAGTATAATTATCAGCCTGGTTTCACATGCTGAGGCATTAGAAATTTTCCCATGCTTCATGTTAAAACCTGTTTTTCAACTAAACGAAATAAAATGTGCTTCCACAAATAGCTCGAAGATTGGCAGAACTCTTTCTGTAAATATCAGAATTTTAAGCTTAAATAATCTAAGAACACTTATTCTGCTTTTGTATGTTAAAGGAAGTATCTATGAATAGTTTGCACGGACAATAGGTATAAACTGTATCTCATACAAACTCAGTACACCAAGATTAAGATAAACTGAATGCTACATATATTAGAAAAACAACTGATTCTTCTGATTCTATAATAATCTGTGTATGAAGATTAATTTTATTAAATAAAAAATAATTCCTTAAACTGATAAACATCAGTGTATACTAGTTTTCAATGCTATTCAACTATCTTTTTGTTCTTGGCAGCCCGTACCTGGTCACTCTGTTACTCTGGTTTATCATTCTTGAGTCCCAGTAACCAAACAAGCAGGTAGAACTCGTCACTAGGGAGGTTTTTTTTTTTTTTTTTTAAGAAATCAAAAATGTTTTAGAAATTTCCTGTCTCTTTTCTGACCCCAGTTCCCAGTTTTGGAAACAAGATACCCTATTCAGAGGATGAGGCATTTTGTTTTTTTCTCGAGTCTTAACTGAATGGTGCACGTTTTATTCAAAACTATTTGTTAAACATTTATTATGTGCCACTGACTTTTAGGTGTACACTAGGGAATAAGCAGCATCAGAAATCTGTGGAATTCCTTATTTTATTCAACTGTGACAGGCTCCAGGGCATGTATAAAGTTGGTAGTTTTTCATATTTTCTGTTTGGCCACAGATCAACCCTTGAAGCCAATATTTTTGTCAAAAAGCATCAAGGTTTATTTCCAAAGCACTTGATGACTTCCTGCCTATTTTTAATAAATCATGACAAGTTGTTTGACATTCTTCAATAACCAGCCTTTTAGACCTCACGGTTCCATTTGTTCGGATGCCATTTAGTGCATTTTGCTGAATATTGTCATCACTTGAAATTCTGTTTATCAGACACAGATGACCCTGTGAATGTTTTTCTTTCAGCGGAAACCAAGTCCCAAAAGCCCGTGATTCTGAGCCCATCTAATGAGACGAAGGAAGTGGTTTTGGGTAAGTGGACTGCAGCTGGACATGCTAAACTTACTTTTAACTCAAGATTAATATATATTATACCTTCACTATACATAACCTAGGTCATTGACTGAATATCCATCACTGTTGGTCAAATAGCACAATTATATCGTAAAATGTTTTTTATTGTTTTGATTTTTTAAATGGCAGAAATCCAATTGTATTTAGTTTTCCTGCCCTTAGTTTCCTGTGACACGTATTAACCATGAAAACATCCGCCCAAGACCTAGTTTCAAGGCCTAAGGAAAAATGTAGCAATTTATCTGACTGGCACAAGTTGTATTTCCTGGGACCAGAACTAAGTTCCTGGCAGAAGAATAAGAGCAGAAACCAGAGAGATCATAGTTATTCTAGGAAAATAGCTTTCTAAGGTGGTGTAAAATTTTTATTTTAAGAAGAAAGAGAAAGAGAGAGAGAGAGAGAGATAAGGAAAGTTCTATTGGAGACCACTGGTCCAGATATGAAAAATAGATTGGAATCCTCTTTGGTAACAGTAACTGTTTGAACCATGAGCAGTTGTACAGAGATTAGAAGGTTTACGTTTGTGGCCTGTCAACGCTGTGCTAGTCAAGCCAGTGGTTTATGGTGGAAGATAGCAGGGGAGCTTTCTTTCCTGGGAACCGATAGGATCTAGAGTTGTGTTTCTCAAGCTCTGTTCTTTGGAAACGTTCATTTTGATAGCCTACAAAAACCAATGTCCTAATCTTTTTTCTCAGAACATTAATACCACAGCTACCTTACATCACTTTTGATGTGCCAAGGCCCTTCAGATGGCCCCAAACCATCTTTTTTTCTGATTTTCTTGCTGATTTTCTTGCTTCCTAAGTACCACTTTTGCCGCTGTTGGTGCTGGCTTCTCTTGAGACATTATTCTCAAGAATTATGGAGTTAAGCACCCTGAAACCTAGGCTGCATTATATTGCTCTCTAAATCAGAAAATAGCTTTACATTTAGAAATTAGTATTTCAATCTATCACATTAGCAGGAAATCTGGGTACATATCTCTGTCATAAGATTAACTTAAAGGAATTCAAGTAGGAGGCATTTGATAAGAATCAATATGAATCACTATTAAGATCACATAAAAATGTAAGAATGAAGGGATACTTCCTTAACTTAATAAACAACATCAGTAAAAAGTGTCACTTTCTCTCTTCTCCTTCCTCCACCCACTAATACTGCCTTTCAAATAACTTTCTGAAAAAACAGAGAAGTAGACATGAATTATGCTCAGAAATAGAAAAATTATTAGTGTGTCAATATTAGTGAACATAAACCAGCTATGACAGCCTAATAATCCTGTTTTGGAAGACTGAACTAGGCTGAAAGTCCCAGTTCACGGTAATTGCAAGATAATACAGTATAAGATCTTATTTAAAATTTGCCTATGGGTGAGTATTCGGAACATTTGTTTAAAATGCCACTCAAGATGTCTGAATTCTGCCTTGGAGTGCTCCACTTTCAATCCAGCTACACCATCAGGTGATAATTCAAGTACTAAGTCTTGCCACGTATGTAAGAGAGGCCTGGATGAAGCTCAAACCCCTGGTTTGAGCCTGCTTCAGCTCTTGGCTCTTGCAGGCATTTAGGAAGTGAATCACTAATAAAAACACACAAACCCTCTCTTTCTTTCTCCTTTGCTTGCTATCCATGTGACTTTCAAATAAGCAAAAATAAATGCAAAAAAAAAAATTTCTTATATGCATGGAAAAGATAAAATTTGGGATAAATAAAGTTAGTAACATAGTGGTTATTTCTGAATGGTGGGTTGAAGGACAATTTTCTTTTTTTCCTTTGTGCTTTTCTAGGGCTTAAAAATTTTATTCAGTAGCCACTTATTAATATATATACATACATACATATATACATAGTTGAGTCTAAAAATCAATTCATGGTATGATTAAAAATATTTTTTTTGCAGGATCTCAGTTACAACTGATCTGCAATGTCAGTGGCTCTATGGGTGATGTTGTCTACTGGAACTGGAATGGGTCAGTAATTGATGAAGATGATCCACTACTGGCAGAAGAATATAAATCGTAAATACACTATTCAGATTCTGATATTAAATTCCATGTCATGTTTTATATAACCCCTATAGTTAAATATAATATCTAGAGTTGGTTGACATTAATTCATCCTAACCTTTCTGCCCTTTTTGAGTTTGGGTTATACGGGATTTGTAAAATCTTAAATGTTTTAGGTGGAAATGTAGCTGCATGTCTTTGCTCATTAATGCTGGACCACCTAAAAGTCTTTCCTTAATTTCAGTCATAAATGCCTGAATTCTATGAATTCTAATGAGGAAATTCTCCTGAGTTACTCCTCATTTTAGATATAGTTTAGAAAAGACGCATGGTCAAGAATCAGGAATTGCACTTGGAAGTCTTTTGGCTTTCCAGTGCACCTGCCAGTAGGATCTCCCAGCTTCCTCTCTGCTCCTCTCTGCAGTATCAGCAACCCCTTGTCAACTTCCCTGATCCACTATCGTTCAATATTTTTTTTTCTCGAAACTCAGAATGCTTATGTCCATATTTTTCTTCTTGGAGGCTAGTGATTTTAATTTGATTCCTCTGCTACTGAATCAGGTTCTGAAAATAATTTTGACTCTAAAAATCTCAGGCCCTCGTGGTCAGCAGTCTGTTATGCCCATGACTGAAGCAGGTGTTTATTTCAGCTGCTATTTATAGTACACATGAAGAAATCAAGCAATTCTATGTGTCTTATTTGTAGTAGATGTCATTTACTTGCATAACTTTATTTACTCCTCTTTTAAACAGACTTGTAAATCCTTCATCTCAAAAACAATTTACACATCTTGCAATACTTAACATTTCAGAAGTTGAAAGTAGATTTTATCTATATCCATTTACTTGTTTGGCCAAAAATACATATGGCATTGCTGAAACATATATCACATTAATATATCCAGGTAAGCCATTACGTATTTATTTTAAATGCAATTTTGTTTTACTGTGGTAAGAGTGTAGCAAGTCCATGACCTTTAAACTTCCAATGCTGTTTCTTCTACCCAGCACATTCTTTATTTCTCTTCCCCCTTGAGTAACTTTAGTCTTCTTTGATTTCTTAGAAAAATTGCCTCTTCTCAGAAACTTTCCTGTCTTGCTGTCTGCCCTGGACCCAGCTGTCTGCCTGCACGAATGAGGTTAGGATATCTGTTGAATATTTTCATAGGACCCTAGGTCCCCATCCCAGTAGCTTTCAGACTTAGTCTTCTTTACCTGAGTAAATTCTGTAATGGAGCCTTATTTTTTAGAATGCTCCTACTTCCATGTCTAGGAGCAAGTTAAGTTGACCACACTCTCTGTATTGAATAAGTATTCTGAAGGACTGTACAATGAATACATCATGAAAATCTAAGTATTCACTATTCAAAATGAATGTCAGAAGTTATTGATTTTCAGCAATGGGTATAATCACTAGAATTATCTTGCTGTATATAATTTCTGAGTCTAAATGCCTAGAACATACAATGAAAAACTGAACTTAAAAGGTGATGTTTATCGTATCATCAAAGCACCAAATACTGAAGAATAAATCTAGCAAAAAGGTGTTCCAAATTTGTACAATACAAAGGAAACAAATTATTGCCATATCCTAGATGGATAAGGGGCTATGTAAAGTTCATGGTGTGAAACCCTACATTATGAAGATCTTAGTTCTTCCTAATGAACCTATAGCTTCAAAATAATTGCAGCCAAGCTCTATGCAATGTTTGTGCAGTAGTGTTTATTGCATGGGTATATTGTTTGAGCACATGAGTAAATACAAAGGTTCATTCTTCAAGTCGAATGGAAATGTCAGGGTCACGGATGCTCAAGGTGGTCTCACAGAAGAGAAATAATCTGGAGATTTGTACTACAGATACCACCATCTTACATAGTTCTATACCAGTGTAGTCTGCAAACCGGGCCAATTTAGATTTTAGTCTAGATATTGGCACATCATGATTTCCACTTTGTAATAAAGTCAATTCCAGGTCAATCAAATATCCCAATTGCAAAAACATTGCATAAAAGCTTTCAATGCTCTTTCTGCACGATGCCTGATACATTAAAGCCATTTTTTCTTTCTTTTATCTAGTTCTGCTTCTCCAGCCACTCCGTCTTACAACCACCCTCCTCAGCTCTCCCCTCCTCCTGTGAGATGAATCATGGGATGGGTAATTACAGAGGCGAGAGAATGTGGACATGTGAAATAATCCTTAAGCCACCCTCCGCTTCTTGTCTTAATCCCAGGAACTGTGCTTTCCTCTCCCACCTGAGGGAACTTCTGTAGGGTTCTGAATGACTTTGACTTCTACTTTCTTCATTTTAGAGGGTTCTGTCCTGTGGCCTTTGATATTTTCCCACTTGTTATTGTATATTGTACTATTTTGGTGAAAACTTAACAGAATGCACCTGCTTTTGATATAGTGTTGATGTGGATTGTTTTTGTACATTAGTATCCTTATTACGTGATAATAACGAGCGATAACAATTGGTCTGAATGCAGACAAATTCCAAATATGATTTTTCTGAGTTGAAAATGTTAAATTTGCTATGTTCAATTTTTAAATTATTTTTGTTCTAATCTTTTTTTTTCATCTTTTCTACTGTAGTCCCTGATTTCCAGAAGCACACGATTGGGATCTGTGTCGTGTTAACAGTTGTGGTGACATGCTCTGTTTTCATCTATAAGATCTTCAAGGTTGACATTGTACTTTGGTATAGAGATTCCTGCTATGGTTTTCTCCCAAAGAAAGGTATAATTTTTATATTCTGTGCCATGTATTTTTTTTGGTTGGAAAGGTAGACAGTGACTAAGAGGGCAAGGGGAGCATGTACAGAAGTAGTGACAATTCTTCTGGTTATAGTTTTATAACTGACTAGGCTGTTTGCCATTGTTTTATGGGCTTACATCCATTTATTCATGTTGGTAGATAAACATGGGTTTGGGGCAACTATTTATAAACTCAGTTAATCAGAAGCCAGTGCTGAAGGTGTGTTCTGTGCTGGACTGGAACTAGGTCACTTCATGATCTGCCTGCAAATGAAATAAATGACTCCATTTTCATGTATCAGAAAAGCTGTCCTGTTCTATTGCTAAAATCTTACAAAAAAAGCTAACACCCCCAACAATATATACAAGGGAGAATGAATAGAATCCAGGACTGGGGCATTTGGGGAAAAATAAGAACAGGGAGATAAGGATCATCTTTTCGCACTGAATGCACAACCAAAATTTTGTAGGAAAGCACAGTGACTAAAACCCTTGCAGGAGAGAAGCAGTCTGCAAAAGCATTATAATAATGGGCTTTGTTGGTATTGTTGTTTTATCGATGCCAATGTATACAAAAAGAATGACTCTTGAACTTGTGATGCTGAATTTATCAAATTTCTTGGGTTTCCTTTTTGCCTAAGTATTTATATTTTGCATTTAGCTCCAGATGGAAAGACCTATGATGCGTATATTCTATATCCAAAGACCCCAGGGGAAGGATCTACCTCTAATTCCGATGCTTTTGTGTTCAAAGTTTTGCCAGAAGTCTTGGAAGAGCAGTTTGGGTATAAGCTGTTCATTTATGGAAGGGATGACTATGTTGGGGAAGGTATGTATGTAGCAGGAAAAGAGAAGAAGCATTTTTGTTGTAAAGTGAATAAATGAAGTTTAGGTTCTTTTGACAAAACCATGGCACAGGTGCACATTTGAGCAATTGTGAAGCCTCTTCAGTGATATGTCATGACACCTTGCAATGATGACATACAAAGTGTTCACTTTCCTCGCACTTTCTTGAAGCAATGTTTAGCTGATTTTTACTGAATTTGGGAAAATCTAATGACTAATTAGACACAATTATTACTCTATGACTAAAACAGTAGGAGTGGTCTACATCAAATGATTGAATGCATTCATTGTGTAAATTTAATAAATGAGAGGCACAGAAACAAAGAGCTTCCATCTGCTGATTCATGTGCTACATTTCCGAAGCACCTAGGGCCAGGCCACACTGTGGCTAGGGAAATCGAGAACTCAATCCCAGCCTCCCACATGGGTGACAGGGACCTAAGTACTTGCGTCATCACTGCTACCTCCCAGGATCTGCATTAGCAAGGGGCTTCTTTATTAGTGGAGTTGGATCTCAAACCCCAGGCACTACAATATGCGAAGAAGGCATACTTTTAAAATTAACATACATGAAAGAGTTATATAGAGAGAGGTAGAATCAGAGAGACATTTTCTATTCACTGATTCACTCCCAAAATGGCTGCAAAAACCAGTGTTGGGCCAGACTGAACCCCAGAGCCATGAGTTTCTACTTGGTGTCTCATGAAGGTAGCAGAGGCTGAAAGACTTGGACCATCCTATGCTTGCCTTTAGCTGGGAGCTGGATTGGAAATGGAGCATTTGGGACACAAACTGGCTTCTTTGTGGGATGCCAGCATCATAGCAGGTGGTTTTACTTGCTGCATAACAGTTTCAGTCCCGATTCAGGCATTTTGATTTGAATCTTAAAGCTAGACCAGATGCCTGCCTCAGATCCAGTGATTTAATAGGAAGGACCTTCTGAAGTTTTGAATCTTTAAAGAACGGTGATGTACTTTGTACTTACTTGACTGTGCTTCCTGCTTTTCAGACATTGTTGAGGTCACGAATGAAAATATCAAGAAAAGCAGAAGACTGATTGTGATTTTAGTGAGAGAGACATCAGACTTTACATGTTTGGGTGACTCATCGGAAGAGCAAATAGCCATGTACAATGCCCTCATTCAGGATGGAATGAAAGTTGTTCTCCTGGAGTTGGAGAAAATCCACGACTATGAGAAGATGCCAGAATCCATTAAATTCATTAAGCAGAAACATGGAGTCATCCGCTGGTCGGGGGACTTTAAAGAGGGACCACAGTCTTCCAAGACCAGGTTCTGGAAGAATGTGAGGTACCATATGCCTGCCCAGCGGCAGGTGCCTACATCCAAATGCCAGTTGCTGTCCACAACGTCTAAGCCAGAGCCTAAGAAGAAACTGGAAAGAGAAGTTCACTTGCCTCTCGGATAGCCACCAGAGGCTTGGCCAAAGCTTCTTTGTCTTTTGTCTGTGACACTGCAGTCTGAGCTGTACAGTCACAAAAAGTACGTGTTATGCTCCCTGCACCCCAAGGTCACCTGGCATCAGATTGTTAAGGGAGCGAGATGTGACTGTAGGAGGCAGGCAGTTTGAAGTAGAGGCCACAGACACCTGCAACTCTTCAGGAAGGATGAGCACAGCTTGAACCTCAGAGCGGGGCTGTAGCCCTCTCTCGGGACTCCAGTAGCACCTGGAGTGGCTGCCTGGGCAGTGTTGCGGGGAAAGGAGAGCCTGCCAGCACACAGAGAAAGGGGTTCTTCTTGGAGTACTTTTCACAGATGTTCATGTTCCATCCATACCTACAGCCAGCAGTTCAGAAGGACGGCTTTCTCACTTTCCCGAACTTGAAAACCTTCATTTTACAGGACAAAGGCATTCTGACATTTTGAAATTCCCTTAGTGTTCCACAGGAGAGAATGCACTGTGGAAGCATTGGGAACAGGGAATTGAAGTACCTCTTACTGCTTTTCTCCCTGGAGTGGCCATCCGGTTCTTCCTTTTTTTTTTGTCTTTTACTGGGCTCATTCTTTCTTTGGCAGGATGGCTTCCCAGGGGTTTCCTCCCTCTGTTCTGTTGCATGCTCATCCCATAGATAAACCATCCTTCCTAAAATGCTGCTCTCATCTCACTTGGCCTTGGCCAAAATGGCTCCTGGGACTGGGAGCTAAAGCTGGAGTTGTCTCACCAGCTTGTCTTGCCTTCCCAACCTCTCCAACCTGTCCTACTGTGAATACCCAAAATAGCCCCCTGAGCCTCTGAACCTGCCCTCAGCATGCACCCATCTAGTCTGTTACCTTGCTGCCTCTGACTAGAATCCCTTCCAGCCAGCTGGAAATGTACTGAAACTCAGATCTGAGTCCAATTGTATTGTCTCTAGGAGATGTTCCCTAAGTGATGACTCCTCGGCCCCTTGATTTCCTGCCAATGTGACAGTGCTGGCTGTTGGGGACTAGCCTGGAGGGATTGTTTTCCAGCTGGGATTTGCTCTCTATGGGAGAGGCCCTTGTGTCTCTCTTTGTTCCTCACTACCTTCCACAAGTAATTTGCACACATGATGTAGATTTGAGTGATGTTTTATTGCTTACAACAATCTTAGGTTAAATTTTTGCAATTATTCAAATTTGGTATATGATCACAGTTGCCTATTTTTGAAAAGTCACACTCTTAGTGCTATTAGATATAGGGCTTGAACTTGGGTTTCTAGCTTCGATGTTCTGCGAACTTGATTTCAGATTAATAACTCACCTGTTTTACCCCCACTTTGGCACTTTTTTGAGAAGGAATTGTAGTTTTCTAGGAAGCCACTGAATTTGACAACATTTCTTTTTAGGAAACCAAATTCCTAACTTTAGAGTGTTAGAAGTTACAAATACTATATTTAGATTTTTGTAAAACCTTTTTGTGCACAATTTTATTTCAATATGTCTTAATCAAATATGAAAGAAGGGTTTTTTTTTAAAATGTAGAATATATGTAATTTGCTAAGAGTCCTGGATAACTCTAGAAACCCAATGAAAGCTGTTGGAGGACAAATGCACAGTTTAAAAAATTCTGTGACCATGGATGTGTTTTCTAGCTTTAATATGCAATAATATGGGTGGATTCACTTTTTGGAAACAATTCTTTTTCCCTTCTGCAGGTGCCAGTGGGGAACACCGAGCTTATGACTTCTTTTCCACCTGTTTCTCCTGGATCTGGCCTGACAGCACTGAGCCATAATGCTATTTTGGAGCTGCTGTTTTAAAACAAAAGACCTCATTTTCACTTAGCAGGACAGACTACACGGAGTTTTCATGTCCCCAGCATCTATGAGATGCTTCAAAATGTAGTTTAGTTGAGAAGTTTTCAGTCTGTCACCTGGAAAATATCTTGGCGTGCGTGAAAGCAAAGCAATTCTGAAATTTAGAATTAGTGACAACAGTTGGCCAGAAAGTAAAGAAATGGGGGAACAATCATAAATTACAAGTATCCAGGCATGTGGAATCTAGGAAGGAACAGGATTGAGGGATAAGCTTAGGTCAGGAGAGATGTCTCCCAAACAGGAAGTGTGTTCACACTCCTGGCACTTGGGAAGATTCCAGAGGAAGAACCCACATTCCAGGTTCCCCTTGAACTTCCTTTGACTTTTGTCTCTCCTCCCCACCCCAGATTTTTAAAGCTCTTCCTTCCCTGTGGATTAGATCCTAATATACTTTCTGGTGTGAGTTTTTTCCTTAAGTCAACCTTCAGTGTCGAGGAAGAGTTTGCAAGAGCAACAGAATATTTCCCTACCAGTTTGCTAAAACAGATTGCACAGAACAAGTATTGTCACTCTCCTACTTTTCTTTTAAATATTATTTTCAATAAGAAAAAAAATTGTATTGAGCCATTTTGTAAATGACATTATTGATATGTTCGTGCTGGTTAATGATGAAGGGTATTTTTAAAGCTTGTTTGTATAGTTCCACAGCAGATGTCAAGTATTTTTGTATCTTCAAACACCAAATGCATGTACAGTGCACATTGTTGATCAATAGACTGTACTTGTTTTCCAATAAAATTGTCAAACCATTTCCTGAGTATAGTCATTGAACACCATCTCTCTGGCTGCACACGCCAGGCCTGATGGAAGCTGAGGACACCATCTATAGAGCTTTGATTACAGGGAGAGAAGGGGAGTGAAGCTCCCCAAGCCAGCAGCCTACAGCTATTTGCTTACCTCAATGATGTAAGTCATGAATTATTGTTAGCAAACCTTTACCTGTTTGAATAATAAGGGCACCATTTTTAAAAAAAAGATACTTTTTTTTTTTTGGAAAGTCAGATATGCAGAGAGGAGGAGAGACAGAGAGAAAGATGTCCCATCCCCAAGCGGCCGCAACGGAGGGAGATACACTGGTCTGAAGCCAGGAACCTGGAGGCTATTCCAGGTCTCCCATGCAGGTACAGGGAGCCATGGCTTTAGGTCATCTTCCACTGTTTTTCCAGGCCACAAAGAAGGGAGCTGGATGGGAAGCAGCGTGGCTGGAATTAGAATCTGTGTCTATATGGGATCCTGGCATGTGCAAGGCGAGACGGGGACTTCAGCCGCTAAGCTACTGCACCAGGCCCATAAGGGCACCATTTGTATGGACTTTAATACCTTCACAGAAGGCATCCATTTATTTTCTTCTTTAACTCAGGAAGTGGACAAATAATCATGTATCTGTGCGTGTGTTTAGGAAAAGCAATGCCAAGCAACAAATCAAAGTTCACATCATCTCCCTCTCTGTCAGATATTTTTATTTGAAAGGCTTATTTGCAGAGTGGAGAGACACAGTAAGAAAGAGAGAGGGAGATCTTCCATTTACTGGTTCTCTACCCAAATGGCTACAGTAGTCAGAGCTGAGCAGATCAGAAACCCAGGAGCCAGGAGCTTCCTCTGGGTCTCCCACATGGGTACAGGAACTCAAGGACTTCAGCCATCCTCTGCTGCTTTCCTAGGCCACATGCGGGGAGCTGGATGGGAAGTAGAGCAGCTGGGACTAGAACCAGTGTCCATCAGGTATATTTGCACCACAGGCAGAGGCTTAGTCTGTATCTGCCAGTTTGGCATTTTTGACAAGCAAGTTTCCTAACTGTTACTTGAAAGATTTAAAAAAATATATTTATTTTTATTTATGTGAAAGAGCAGTGTCCACATGCACCGCCCCCCCCCCCCCCATACACACACAGAATGAAACGAAGGAGCAGAAAAAGGGAGAGATTGGTTTTCCATTTTCTGGTTCACTCTCCAAATGCCCACCCCAGTGGGGGCTGGGCCAAGGTGAAGCCAGGAGCCTGAAGCACTAATTGAGTCTCCCACTTGGGTGGCAGGAATCCTAGTACTTGAGCCAGCATCCGATGCCTCCCAGAAGTGCATTAGCAGAAGCTGACTTGGACTCAGAGTAACCAGGGCATGCCCAAGTCATTACGATACGGGCGGTGGATGGCGGCTGTATGTCTATTCTTACCCACAGTACCACCACGCCTGGTCAAATTATCTTTAAGCATATCACAACAAGGTAATCAGAGATTTTCTCAAGTTGATTCAGCCAAGGAGAATCTTTCACCTTGGAGATGAGCCCCCGGGGGCCACAGCGTTATCATCAAGGAAGGAAAGGAATGAGCCAGGCTGAGGGAAAGCAATTCCACTCGATGCAATGGCACAGATAATCTCTACAGATGCAGAAACCCATAGAGCACACATGAAGAAAGTGTCTGTGGGGAAACATAGGAGAACAAAATCATGTAAGACATTTATTTTACCACCCAAACATGAACATGTATGTGTAAGTATGTGTGTGTGTCTGTGTTTTAGGGACAAGAAGCTGCATGAACTAGATGACATTCTTTACAAACAACCATTAGCCATTCAAGGAAACCTTATCTTACTGTGTACCACTCAGGTTTCTCCCAAAGAAGGTCTGGCTGATTCAAGTGTGGACCTGCTGTGCGCTGACCTTAAGTCAGCACCCAACACATGAACACAGTCCCTAAGATTTGTAGCTGTTGAATCGGCTGAACCTGTATCACTTGCATCTAGGCTCATGGGATGATGTGACTTCTCTTGGACCATGTCTTTCTGCACCAGCTGGGAGATGAACTTACAAAGTCCAAGATGTTTGTTCCTTTGAGAACCTTTGAACAGGAAGTGGCTCCAACTGTCACTGGGTTTTTGCTTCCGGCTCCTGGTAGGGCCGCCTTGACCATCACTTGTTAGCATTTCTTGGGGCTACGTTTCTCCAAGAATCCCTGAGAACTGGATCCTTTAGATTCCTGTGAGTCCGGGTCTGGCGTGTTTCACAGTCTCTTCCCATGTTTGCCTGCGTGATTAATCCCAATTCGGCCAGCACTTCCATGTTCTCTCCTCAACCACTTTGCACGCATATCTTGCTGAGCTTGACTAGTTTCTCTTATTTATCTCCAAGACT